GAACTTGCGTGGAATACGAGTAGGTCTAAGGTGCAGCCATAGGATTTCGTGCTCCTGGCAGCAAGATAACTCTAAAATCTGTTTATATTTAACATCTCGGTTATTTACGTATGCTCAAACCCCACCATGGGATTTGTTAATTCGGTCCCTACGTATTATTGAAAAACCGGGAATGTTCACCACGCTGTCAGGAATAGAAGCTTTAAGCCAGGTCTCTGTGATAAATACCAGGCTGATTTGGTTCCGGTGAATAAATTCGCGAACTTCGTCAACTTTTGGAACGAGTGACATGACATTAGACAGCATTATTTTTGGGACATGTTCAAATTTAACAGCTTCATCTAGTGGAATTTTAACCAAGTTAAAATCGGACGTTTTATATTTATTCCGAAACCTCTTGCAATTGTAGTTATGAGTTGTTATTCTTACAGGAATGGTTTGACCCATGATCGTTTCTTTTTCCATAGTGGCATCTAATAATAATATTGGAAGAACAACATTTTGTCTTTCCGCTTGCCCCTCCGACTCTTCCGAAAAACCTCCTTAGCTTGGCAGGTTTTTGTGGAATGTTTATCCCGTTGCCAATTTGGGTTCAGTGATTGTATTTTTTCCCTACTTGTAATACGCGTCGGGATGGGATACTGATTTGTAAGATCGTGCTGTGGTATTTGATGGAGCGTGTTAAAAATAATAGTTGGGAGGCCGCATCTATCCTCATCTTGCTTAGATACATGTTGAGTCCTGTTTAGATCGATGTCAGTACTTTGATCCTCAACCACAATACAGGATTGATCAAGAGACAGCTCACAGTTATTTCTTTTAGTTTCCTGATTTATTTCTTTTCTTTGGTTGAAAGTGTGGGAATTTGCATAATTTATCTTTGCCTCGACCTTGGTGTTATTGTTAGGCGCTATTTGGGAATTAATCGACCGATCTCCCATAGGTGTAATTGAGCCACATTGTTGATTCGAGTAATTAATTGTGTTCCTTTGTTCCAATTCGTGTAGGTTTAATTTACAGGTTTTTAAGTCTAGTTCTATAAAGCTTCTACCTTGCTGCTTAAAGCCTTGTTTTGATCAACTAATTCAATACGAATTTGTTCCATTTTTTGGGTATTTGTTAGAAGACCACAAACAATTTTAGACTCCATCAAAACAATGTCTAGCTTGGCTCCCTCTAATTCTGTTGAGAGTTCGCTATGCGAGACAGAACAAACCGTTTGACTTTGGGCACGCATTTCACTTACCAAGTTAAAGTCTGTTTGAACACCAATATCACGAGTCGTGTCTCTAAGGTTCCTGTCGCGATCTTTTATATAGTTTGCCATCAGCTGGAAATCTTTATCGAGTTTCTTCATTGCAACACCAATCTGTTTGACGGACAACTCAATGTTAGTAACGTTTCCTGCTAGCTGGTCAAAATTTTCTTGATCTATAACGCTACTCAGAGTATTATTTCCGCAGTCTTTCGCCATATTTGAGCCAGCCAAACCGATAATCAAATCTTTCAATTTAATACCAGCTTGTCCTTGAAACACAAGTGACTTTTTGAGAGGGTACCAGGTAATTGAGACTTGGCTACTGCGAAAGGATTTTGCTCGCCCGCCAGGAGAAATCCACTTGCTTTGTTCGCCAAACAAATCGGCCACAAAAGTTTTCAAATTCTCAAAGTTGCCGTTCCATTTCACTCTGTCATTGCTACTGTCATATTCAACAAGCACCTTAATTGTACTTGTCTTGAACGTTAAAGAAATTATTTTGGAGCTGGTTTAATATATTTTTATCGGAGCTATCACTTGGCATGACCGCCATGTTGACCGCTATGTTGTTGATTTTGGTTTTTTTGATAAACATTACTAATTAATGTAGAGTATCTACGTTTAAGATAGTGTTTAAACGAGTTTGGATTACGAAAAATGTCAGGTGAGACTTCTTGGCACACTGTGTTCCAAATCTTTACAACACGATTGTAGTATGAAGCAGGGGTGAAAAAATATTTTACTAGAGATTTTAAGCTTTGCGTTATACGGCAAACGGCAAACGCCAGGCAAAGAAAAATTTTACGGTATCAGGCATGAGTAAATGAACTTGCTGTTTTAAAACTGCAATGCATGACTATTCTTTCGACACAAGAAAGAAAATTTGAAACGAAAACGTTTAACGACAATTTTGCGAAGAAAGTTCGAACCTGCCGTTTGCCGTTCCCGGAAACGCGAAGCTTAAACTCCCTACTTTCTGGGACCGCCATGAATAAAGGGCAATAAAACATTTTCTGTGATAAATCAAGTAAATCAATACTTGGACACTGTGACTGTATAATACTAACAAGTTGTCAAACTGAATGTCATGCTATATTTTCGCAGAAAAAATTAATTTCAGTGACAGTGCAGTGAGAATCTTAATAATACTTTTAGGAATATGACAGAACTAATTCAGATAACATCAGGGGTCTGATCCTGAGGTAAATTTACAGATGCAAAAAGGGGGGATCTTGGGGCATGCTCCGACAGAAAATTTTGGAAACCCGGTGTCTCAGATTGGCTAAAAATTATTTGCCATACAACATTTGTTACATCATTCTATAATCTATACATTTATATACTATCCGACTATCGTACTATTAAGATGGACTTGCATTTCTGAGGTCATACCTGCAGTACAGGTAGTATTCTTTCTATTGGTTAGAGTTTTCCCTCTGAATTTATCCTTTTATCTAAATTTTTGCAATTATATATTTCTTTCTTGGGGAAATATTTTCTGGGAACTCAAAAAAACTCGGCCCGTGGTCCGATACTTTTTCCACCCCTGGTATGAGGACTGGAAAGTGTTAGTTTTACAGAGTTTACTTTGAAGTATATATCTTGACGTATGGCTCAGTCTAGTACGGCCATGACTCACAAAGGACACATAGTTATCGATGTTGACGTCAATGTAACTAAACAATGATTTGAAGAAATACACCAAGTCTCTGACTTCTCGATCATAGGTAAACGGTAGCAGATCTAATGCTAATAACCGTTCTCTGTACGACAGTTCGCCTCGCTTTGTCATTGTTATCCACGTAGTTGCTCTTCTTTGCACTTTTTCAACACGTCTTGAAATCTGGACGCTGTTAACCGGCGACCATACCTCTCTAGCATAACACAGCTGGGACTTGACCAACGATAAATATAAAGTTCGTCTGGCTTTCATGTCCATCAATTTGGTACAAGTTCTTCTAAGTACGCCTAACATTTTGTTGGCCTTTGCGACGATGGTGTTCGCGTGAAGTTTTGATGTGGTGGTAATTCCAAGATCGTTTCCGCTATCTACTCGAGTCAGGTTTTGGCTGCAAGAGTATAGTCATGAATGATCGATAGGGTTTTTCTTTCTGGTGATGGTAAGAACTTTGCACTTAGAGACGTTGAAGCGGAGGTTGTTTTCCATAGTCCAGAGATTAAGATTGGATAGGGAATGTTATGGTAACCTAAAAGTGAATGGAAAATACAACGTCCGCAAAAATTTCGGTAGCGGAAAATTTCACGTTAGTATATTATTTCACACTTTGTCCCTGCATGCATGCGTATACAAGCAAGATATGATTCCAAAATGATCATAGTTGAAGTACCAGCTACAATCGCGTGCAAAAACAATGAGATTCTTCACATTTTGGTGATTTTTTTCACATGCGTGCCCCCCTCCCCCCACTAACAATGTTGAAAACATATTATTTGATAAACCCTGACCTCAAAATTGTTTTAACAACATTGCACAAGGGGGAGGGGGGCAAAAACCATTGTTACAGTAGGGAGAGGGGCAATAAACCGCTTGTCTCAACAATTTTTGCACGCGATTGTCTTACCAAAGGCCTCTTTATGGTCCAAAACTTAATTAAATTTCTGCCAAAAATTTAACTTAACGCAATCTCGGGCAAAATTTTCATTTTTCGCGCTTTAAGCCCAGTGATCTAGTTTCCGTGCGAATCTCGAACAAAAATGGACTCAAGAGACGCAGAACGGGGGACTGGGTACGAGTAAGCAAACGTTTTGAACAGCTTATTGGATCCTAAATGTCTCCTGTTCTAAGCTTTTTTTCTATCTGGACTCTGACATCCAATTTTTGCAACTTTAAGCGACGCAAATTTTCTACTACGGTAGAAACGGACAGATTGACGAACGCGAAACAGAAATTATCTGGTTTGTTTGATGGAAGGTCTTTGATTTTACCCGGAAGATTCCGCAGGCGGAGCAGAAAGACCTGTCTCGGTACCCACGCTGTTTTGACGAAATGGTGTTTTTGGATGAACAGTTTTAACTTTTTTCATGCAGCCATCATTGCACATTTACTCTCAAAGAAATATATAAGCATAGATGACACGTTACGCACACGTTACGCACACGTTACGCACACGTTACGCCACACGTTACGTTTGAGTTTATATAGAATATTAATGAAAACCGACACGTTACACACGTTACGCCCCATTCTTATAAAGGTAGAATAGGTCTACCTTTAATATATTAGGCGTAACGTGTGTAACGTGTCAGCTTTCTATAGATTATTATATACTGAAAGGGGTAACGTGTGCGTAACGTGTGCGTAACGTGTGCGTAACGTGTGCGTAACGTGTGCGTAACGTGTGCGTAACGTGTGCGTAACGTGTTGAAATTGAGTTCTATTTATTTTGTATGCATGTATAAGGTCTTCAAAATAATTTTCACGCGGAGGCAATAAAGTAGTACTTTTATTGAATATGCATGGTAGAAGTGTGTACTTAATACATTCGTCACTATTAAGCATCTAAAACAGTAATTGAAGTCAAAAGGCTCTGCCAATATAAACTGTATAAATAAGGAAAAACATTGTAATATAGAAACACTTAATAAATTTAATACTTCAATTGTTCTCCTCCGTTTCTCACTGATCATTGCAACACGCTTGTTCATCGATATAATAATTCAGTCGATAGTACTTTTTGACAAATTCATCGTCGTGCTTTTAACTCTTTCGGAAAATTGTTCAAACTTTTCTGACGTGATCTGCTTGTCAATGGCATCTTGTCCGAACTGTTTTCATACTCAAGCGGGCGCGTTCAATTTATGAACTATTTACGGTCATTTATGACGTCACGATAACGTCAATGTGACGTCACAATTTTACACACTGTAGGGAAAATCCTTAAGCACACGCCAAACACATAGTAACAGTAAGCAAAGGCTGTTATGCTTCTTATTTACAGCAAAGCGAAATAACCGTATTAGAATTATCATTACTCGAAACTACATAGACTGTCTTACCAAAGGCCTCTTTATGGTCCAAAACTTAATTAAATTTCTGCCAAAAATTTAACTTAACGCAATCTCGGGCAAAATTTTCATTTTTCGCGCTTTAAGCCCAGTGATCTAGTTTCCGTGCGAATCTCGAACAAAAATGGACTCAAGAGACGCAGAACGGGGGACTGGGTACGAGTAAGCAAACGTTTTGAACAGCTTATTGGATCCTAAATGTCTCCTGTTCTAAGCTTTTTTTCTATCTGGACTCTGACATCCAATTTTTGCAACTTTAAGCGACGCAAATTTTCTACTACGGTAGAAACGGACAGATTGACGAACGCGAAACAGAAATTATCTGGTTTGTTTGATGGAAGGTCTTTGATTTTACCCGGAAGATTCCGCAGGCGGAGCAGAAAGACCTGTCTCGGTACCCACGCTGTTTTGACGAAATGGTGTTTTTGGATGAACAGTTTTAACTTTTTTCATGCAGCCATCATTGCACATTTACTCTCAAAGAAATACATAAGCATAGATGACACGTTACGCACACGTTACGCACACGTTACGCCACACGTTACGTTTGAGTTTATATAGAATATTAATGAAAACCGACACGTTACACACGTTACGCCCCATTCTTATAAAGGTAGAGTAGGTCTACCGTTAATATATTAGGCGTAACGTGTGTAACGTGTCAGCTTTCTATAGATTATTATATACTGAAAGGGTTAGGTTAAAACGCGGAAGCGGATGCGGAACGGAACGGATGCGGAACGGATGCGGAACGGAACGGATATGGGGTTAAAATGCGGAACGGAACGGATATGGGGTTAAAATGCGGAACGGAACGGATATGCGGAACGGAACGGATATGGGGTTAAAATGCGGAACGGAACGGATATGCGGAACGGAACGGATATGGGGTTAAAATGCGGAACGGAACGGATATGGGGTTAAAATGCGGAACGGAACGGATGCCGGTTAAAATGCGGAACGGAACGGATATGGGGTTAAAATCCATCTGGTGGACGGGAAATCTGATTGGTTGATCAGCATCATGAAAGATTTTGATTGGTTGCAAGTTCATATAAACAATGGCTTTAAAAATAGCTCTGTCAAAGCGACAATTAAGCCGGTTAAAGACGAGCAAGTTTTCTTTAAGAATCTTTAAAACCCGGAATGAGAAAAGCCGGAATCTTTAAAACCCGGAATTATTACTGTAATTACTGTAATAATTTATTAATTTAATAAAGCCAAGTTTTGGCGGGATTCCTAAACTCCTTTGCGCGTCGTGTCAGATCCTCGAACAAACAAGTAAGCAGTAAAGTAAAGAACCTCAAAAAATTTTGTGCAAGGCTGATATTCTATTATTCTGGAGGAAACACAGTGGGTTAGTTTTTATAGCGAATACTATTATCAATACTGTTGAATTGAAGCTCGATTTTTGATATACGTCTGGCAGTACCACATCATTTTCAAAATACTAGGCCGTTTCAATTTTAATAAGCTTTCCACCTGTGTCTGTCACTATAAAATGTTTTTAACTACATATTATGAAAGCTTCAAATGCGTGTGCTTACATGCGCAGCAAGGCGAGACTTTTGAACTTTTGAAAATAGTTTTTGAATTTCCGTGACATGACAAAAGTTTGTTGCGAACTTTTTCTCAGCGAATTTTCTACTAACCTGCAAATAAAAATTCCACTAAAATGCAGGCATTTTCACAAGCTTTCAAAACATCCACGTTAGGGGTGTATGTCGTTAAATTTCGAATTAATATAAGCGATTGAAACTCGTGGCTAAAATCAGACATAATATATATTCCGATTTCCGACTAGAATGTATATTCCGACGGCAATTTTTAAATATAAGCGATTGAAACTCGTGGCTAAAACCAGACATAATATATATTCCGATTTCCGACTAGAATGTATATTCCGACGGCAATTTTTACACCCTCGTTTAGGCAACGAATTATCGCGCTCAATATTCTAGCTATACAATGTTATAGCTTGTACCAAAATGTAGCTGATTTCACCAGCTATCTGACAATATGCGTAAAATTATTGTACCTGTAATATTCGCACAGATATAGACGAATAAAAGTCATGTTTATGTTGCATTAAACTTTCTAATTATGATATTAATATAATTAATATACTATTAATATAAGCGGTTGAAACTCGTGCCTAGAAGCAGACATTATATGTTCCAACTATTAACGACATTCACCGCTAACGCATATGGTTTGAATGCCTCTGAAAATGCCTACATTTTAGCGGGAGCTATATTTCTGTAGCTACAATATTGAGCGAGAAAACGTTGCCTAAACGACGGGGTCAAAATCACACAATGTAAACAAAATTTGAAACCAGAATTATAATTAGAAAGTTTAATTTTAATTAAATTAATGCAACATAAACATGACTTTTATTCGTCTATATCTGTGCGAATATTACAGGTACAATAATTTTACGCATATTGTCAGATAACTGGTGAAATCAGCTACATTTTGGTACAAGCTATAACATTGACATTGTATAGCTAGATTATTGAGCGACAAGGGTGGGTAGTAGCGAAGTAGTTGTAGTTCGCTACTGTAGCGAACTACAATTTTCAAGTAGCCAGTAGTTTTTGACTACTGTTTTAAAACAG